CCACCCTTGCCCGGTGCGCATCCTATGGTGTCGTGGGCCGCCACACACTGCCTTCTGGCCTGGCCTGACATGGGGTAGCGATCCTGGCCTCCCAGCATCTGGAGCAGTCAAGGTGAGCCGCGGGGTCTGGGGGAGTCCAGCAGGCTCTGCAAGGCCTGGCACATGGTAGGTGCTCGGGAAGCTGGCTCTCGGGAAGACCGGTTCGGCACAGCCTTGGCACCAAGCCCGGGTTGGGAGCCAGGCCTTGCCACTCCCCTCCCTGACGCAGAGACCTGGAGCAGGTGAGAGTATGCCCTGCCCTGCCCTGCCCCATCCTGTCATTGGGGTAGTTCCTACAAGGGGCCTGGTGCAAAGGGGAGCTTAGGGCCGGACAGGCTGTCCCCTCGGGCAGCCAGCCTGTTTTTCCTTTTGGGGAGAACATTCTTTAACATCCAGGTTTGTCAAGGAAGAATGGTGATGGGGTTGGAGTTCACTGTGGGCCCAGAGCACAGCCAGGCCTGGTCCACCCTGATGTGTGCCTCAGCTTTGCCTCTGGAATGGGTATAGGAAATGTCCACGTGGCAGGGCTGTATCCACAGGTGCAGAGCTCCTGCTGGGGACAGGGACCCCGCTGGTGCTGAACTCCACAGAGACTAACAGTCCTTTCCTGGAATGGAGTGAGGCCTCTCCTGGGAATGCAATGGCTCAGCCCTAACCACATCCACACAGAGGACAAAGGTACTTGGTAAATGGTGGCACTGATAGGCAAATTGTTTAACCCCAGCACTGCTCCTCCTGGGGTATCCAGGTCCTAAAAGTCTCCCCACCTTGGTCCCAGGCATTAGTTAACCTTGCAGTTGCTGGAGGTTACATGCCCAGTACCCCAAGGTACTCTGGATCCCTTCGAAGTTGGGGAGGCTGTTTTTTCCTATTATGTCATTTTCTTTCTTTTTTTTTTTTTTAAAGAGAGTTTTGCAATAGGGTGTGTGTGCTCACCAGAAAGAAAGCGAGAAATCATCCCCCGGGGGGCTGGCCACACCATGATCCCTTTTCTATTCTCTTCTCGGGATCTTGGGCACGTACCACATGTGCCCAGTGTGAGCTTGAAGCTGCTGAGTCTGGGACTCGAACTGCAGTCAACTACACAGGAGTTATCTATCTAACTTTACTTATTTATTTTTAATTGGACCAGAGAGGGACAAAGTGTGTGTGAGAGAGAGGGAAAGCCAGCCACCAGGTCCAGGATTGAACCACAGTTGGCCACGTGGGAGTCCAGCGCCCTGGACCACCATGCTACTTGCTGGTCCAGTATTATTATTATTATTATTATTATTATTATTATTATTTTATTTTGGAAAGGTTTTTGCTGTAGGGTGTGTACGTTCGTCAGAAAGAGACAGACAGACAGAAAGCAAGAAATCACCCCCCCAGGGGGGGTGGCCACGCCACAATCCCTTCTCCATTCTCCTCTTGGGATCTTGGGCACGCACGCACACATGCCCAGCATGAGTTTAATGCCACTGGGTCCAGGACTCAAACCACGGTCGACTACATGGCAGTCCGGCGTCGTAGCCATTACGCCAACTATGGTCCCAACCCTTATTATTTTTTAATTTGCCCTAGAGCACATGTGCTTATGAGAGGAAGGGAAAGTGAGAAAGTAAGCCACCAGCATCAGGACTTGAACCGCCATTGGCTATGTGGGAGTCCAGTGCCTTAACCACCACACCACCTTCTGGTTCCAGGGAGATTTTAAAGTTTACTTATTTAATCTTCCATGAAAATGAGAGGGAGAGGAGGGGCACCCCCAACAGGGTCTTCAAGCTGCTCTCCTCCCCCAGCCTCAGCCCTCCAGGATCGTGGGCGCACGCAGTGCCCCTGCACTCACAGGGAGCCCTCGGGACTTTCCCGCAGGGATTCAGCCTGACGGAGCCATGCGTTCCTACCATGGCTGGCCACGGGTGGGGAGTTTTAGCCCATTCCACACGTGAGCATCCTGAGGCTAAGCAAGCAGGCCAGGTTTGGGGTCTTCCTGACTTTGATGAAGACGTCCCAATTTCCCCATTTTATAATTGAGTCGGAACCAAGGCTCACGAGTTACCCAAGGTGAGAGGATAAGGGCCGAGCCTCTTATTTAGTAACAGCTTCGTTGAACTACAACTGACAAACCACACAGTTCACCCAGTGGAGTGTGTGTCTTCATGGTTTATAGTCTCTTCACAGCTGCACAGCCATCACCACAATTAATTTTAGAACCTTTTTTAGATTTTATTATTTTTTAATTTGCCATAGGACAGTCACCAGAGACAGGGAAAGTGAGAAAGCAAGACATCAGGTCCAGGACTTGAACCACAGTCCACCACGTGGGAGTCCAGCACCCTAACCACCATGCCACCTACTGGTCCCAATTTTAGAACCTTTTAACTCTCCAAAAAGAAATCGCATCTCCTGGGACCAGCGGGTGACGTGGTGATTAAGGTGCTGGACACTCCCACATGGCCAACCACGGTTCAAGTCTCAGACCTGGTGGTCTGCTTTCTCACTTTCCCTCTGTCTCTCTCTGTCTCTCTCTGATCAAATGAAAATAAATAAATGAATAAATAAATAATTCTTAAAAAAAAAAAAGAGAAATCGCATCTCCCTCGGCTGTATCTCCCTGCTCTCCCCCTCTCCCTAGCCTGAAACCATGCATTTGCTCGGTTCGATTCCATATTTGCCCGTTCTGGACATAAAGGGAAGTATCCGACGCCCGCCTCTAGGGCGTCTCACTCCGTGATGTTCCCAGGTTCACCGTCTCATTTCCCCTCTGCTATTGCTGAATAGGACTCACCGGAGGAGCACCCCGCTTTTCTTTATGCATTCATCAGTGGATGGCTATCCGGGTTTCCAACTTTGCGCCATCATAAATAGTTCTGCTAGAGCGTTGGTTTTCATGTCTCTTGGGTGGACATGTAGGTGAGGAGTTGCTGAGTCCAACAGTAACTAACCATTTAGAGAACTGGCCAGTTGTGCGCAATAGCTGCTCAGGCTCCCAGCCGTGTTCCGGGGTGCCCATTTCTCCACATCCTCACCAACACTCGCTATTGTGGTTTTATTTATTATTATTATTGCCATCCTAAGTGGATATGAAGTGGTATGTCATTGTGGGTTTTTATTTATTTTTACTTGTTTAGTTTGCTATAGGGCACGTGTGCTCACCAGGGAGAGACAGGGAAAGCATCCCCCAGGGGTCTGGCTATGCCACAGTTCCTTCTCCATCCTTCTCTTGACATTTTGGACACTTATGCACATGTACCTGGCATGTTTTTCTTTTTTCTTTTTTTGAGAGAGGTTTTTTTTGTTTTTTGTTTTTTGTGATATTGGGCATGTGCACTCACCATAGAGACAGCTAGAAATCACCCCGCCCCCCCGGGAATGGGCATGCCACAATTCCTTCTCCATTCTCCTCTCAGGATCTTGGGCACACACGCACATGCGCCCTGCATGAGCTTTAAGCCACCAAGTCTGGGCCTTGAACTGTGGTCAACTACGTGGTAGTCCAGCCAACGTAACCAACCTAACCATTACGCCATTTGCTGGTCCCAGCCTGCCATGTTTTTTGTTTGTTTGTTTGTTTGTTTGTTTTAGAGGTTTTTGTTATAGGGAGCGTGCGCTCACCAGACAGACAGAGAGAGACAGAGAGACAGCTGAGAAATCACCCCCCAGGGGGGATGGCCACGCCGCAATCCCTTCTCCTCCATTCTCCTCTCGGGATCTTGGGCATGCACGCACACGCGCCCGGTGTGAGTTTCAAGCCACCGGGTTCAGGACGCAAACCGTGGTCAACTACGTGGGAGTCCAGCGACATAGCCATTACGCCAGCTGCTGGTCCCATCAGCCTGGCATGTTTTTCAAGACACTGGGTCTGGGATTCAAACTGTGCAGTCATGTGGGTGGGACCCAGCCGCCCCGACCACATCACCGGCTAGCCCTCATCGTGGTTCTGACTTGTATTTCCCTAATGACTGATGGTGTGCTTACTGGGCATTTGTATATCTTCTTTGGAGAAATGTCTATACAGATCCTTTGTTATTATTGAGTTGCAAGGGCTCTTTATATAGTTTAGATGCGAGTTTCTTATTAGGTAGGAGTTGCCATTTTTTCGCATTGGTGGATTATCTTCACTTTCTTGATAGTGCACCTTTTTTTCACCCTCCTTTATAAGAGTGACAGGCACTTTTTTAATTGCCGGAGGGTCCGTGCCCTGGCCAGATAGAGTATCCCCCCAGTGGGACACAGTCATGCCACAATCCTTTTTCCTCCTCTCCTCCATCCCATCAGGATTTGGGGCATGCGCGCACACATACCTGGCATGTTTTTTAGGCTGCCAGGGCCAGCGTTCGAATTGCACTTGGCACATGGGATCCAGCTTTCCGTGCACTACACTTACCCACCAAGCCACTAGCTGGCTTAAGATTGGCACCTGTGACAAGGTCTCACTGTGGCAGTCCAGCTCTAGTCTCCCAACCAGCAGTTGTGCCAGCCAGGGACCCAACACCCGCCTCCCCTGTGGCAGCCAGCCTCCCAGCGGTACTCTCTGGGCGCCATTGTGTCTGCACCAACGAAGTTTGTCTTTTTTTTTTTTTTTGCTAGAAGGTGTGTATGCTCACTGGAGAGAGCGAGAAAGTGAGAAAGCACCCCTATGGGGGAATGGTCATGCTGCAGTCCCTTCTCCATTTCCCTTTTTGGGATTTTGGGCATATGTGCACATGTGCTCCCTGCATGTTTCTCAAGCCACCAGATCCGGGACTTGAACCATACAGTAGTCAGTCATGTGGAGTCCAGCCGCTTTCACTGCCACACCGCAGGCTGGCCCCAAAGTTGTAATGTTGATAAAATTCAGTTTATTCATGTGGCCTCCTGCTGCTCACGCTTCCTAAGTTGCTGTAAACCATAGCCGACTCTGAGCCCTGGTCCTCCCTCCACGTGGAGCAGCAGTTACAACCCGGCCGGGAGCCTGGCCTCTGGAGCTAGGCTGCCCCGCCTGCAAGCTCGGGTATGCTTGGCTGTGACCCCGGGCAAGTTACTGAAATGGGCTGCGCCTCAGTGTCCCCACCTGTAAGTCGGGACTGTCCACCTCACGGGCTTGCTCTGAGGCTCACATCGGAATGGGAAGTTCTCAGGAGGGCCTCGACTGTAAAGTAAGCGTGGTCCGCAAGCCGGGGTCTGAGTTTCCCTGCGGAAGGGCAGCGTGTCCACTGTACCTAGTGTGGTGCTTGCCGTGGTGCTGCCATCGTGCGGGCCCTACTGGACCCTCCTCATTTACGACGTCAGGGCTGATCCACCTGGTTGTCAGGCGAAGCCACTGAGGCCCACCCATTCCTGGCAGTCCTGACGGTCCCGCTCTTTCCTTGTCCCTGCAGGTTCGGGGCGCCTGCCCCCGACTAGGCCAAGTGGAGGGGGTCACCCCGTCCAATGGGCCTGGCCAGGGCCCTGCGCCGCCTTAGCGGCGCCCTAGAGTCGGGGGACAGCCGGGCTGGCGATGAGGAGGAGGCTGAGCCCGGGCTGTGCCGCAACGGGTGGGCGCCGGAGCCCGCGCCCGTGGGCCGGCGCCGCGGGCGCTTCGTCAAGAAGGATGGGCACTGCAACGTGCGCTTCGTGAACCTGGGTGGCCAGGGCGCGCGCTACCTCAGCGACCTGTTCACCACGTGCGTGGACGTGCGCTGGCGCTGGATGTGCCTGCTCTTCTCCTGCTCCTTCCTCGCCTCCTGGCTGCTCTTCGGCCTGGCCTTCTGGCTCATCGCCTCGCTGCACGGCGACCTGGCCGCCCCGCCGCCGCCCGCGCCCTGCTTCTCGCAGGGGGCCAGGTTCCTGGC